CTGTGCTTCTGTGTTTGTCACTTCATTGTTTGCGGTTTTATTCAAATCACCACATGTTTGAGGCACGTCATTGGCAGTGCTTGAATTTGCTAAAATAGAGCAGAAATACATTTAAAGCAGTTAAGTTTTTACCCTGAAAACAACCAAACACCACTAAGTGTTTTCTTTGTAGATTTCCATGGCTCAATATAATGTTTTTAGGTAAAATAAGGGAGGTGGATGATGCGTAGCTTCATAAATCACTTCAGTCCTGGTTGTTCAAATATAGGATAATAGTTACCGTCGCGTAAAGAACGGCCGCTTAACAACTGTGGCGAATCAATGATCCTCCGTCTCCTTCCTTCTCTATCTTCCCAATTCAAAGCACTCTAAAACCACAAATCTTTTCACGCTTGCTTGCCACGCTGACAGGAAGTAGTGGCCCAGTGACCACCAGGAAGAATTCTTCCCCATAACAAATGTATAGTTCATCCACCTCCATTGAAATGCATCGCAAATGGTTCGTGGCGAGAATATTGATGATGTTGGGACACAAGTGTAGCTCATATTCGTTGTTTTAATTTGTTGTTGAAACACAGGAAAAGCGTAATTTAAGGGTCCCCCGCTAAGCCCCCGATCAACACGCTTTAGAGGCAATAGAGGAACAGGATGTAAAAGTAGGACTGAGCACCTAATGTGACCAGTCGAATGAGGAGATAAAGGCCAATCGCAATGATAAGCCACAAGTTAACTTACCGGTGGGAGAAAGGGACTTGGCAGATTCGATGGCACTTGCGTTGCACCCCATGATTAATTCGTCTGCACAATCGCCACACTCACGTGCTGGCGTTTTGAACTTCATGTTGCAGCGCCTATTGATTGGTGAGGGGCAAAGGTCATCTGGAAGTAGACTCTACCTGTCGACTGCACAACACCTAGCCAACTTGAAGTGGAGATGACGAAGTCACAATCCCTTTCCTAAAAGTACAGAAGGCAATATACTCATTAGCCTATTTGTATAAGCACCATTTCACCCATCCCATCCTCAGGTGGCCAGATTTTCCAGCTTTCCAACATCTCGACATGAAATAAATTTGTATTTACCCAAAAAAGACGAGAAGAGAGGTAAATAAGGGGAAGAGAACAAGAGAGGGAGAGGATGAGAGGGGAGAAAGGCGTTGACTGTACTGTTGTGGGTAACTTAGGACGCCTCTGCAGCTACCACGACCACTAGGGACGAGAAATCGCACAACTGGCGAACAAACGGTGCGGGCGGACTAGTGATAGCGACAACGGGACCGGTGGGTAGAACGGCACCCCTCTTATCGCTAATGCTACTGCTATGAGGACGCGATGGTGGCGGCAGTGGAGATGTGGCGGAGGGAGAAATGGAAGCCTTAAGGCAAAGGGAATTGACTTCATAGACCCCAGGGCAAGCAACACGTGCGATGAGGGTCAAACGATGTATTTGACCCGCGGCCAAGGGTATCTGCTGCACGCATACACCTGTCCACAATACGCGCGGCGGTGACGGTTGTTGAGGAACTGTGGGACTCCTGCTGCAAAGCACATAAGTGTTACCAAATAAGCTACATTCCAGTTTCTTAGCTATGCTACTAAGGCCAAAAATCACAATCAGCTGCCAAGATCAACGCTACATGGGTATCAGGTTTATTTCAAAGTCCTGAACCGATGGATTTTGCTGAAAAGACGCCTGTTGCTGATGTCGAAAACAGTAGAGACAAAGCACTAATGAAAGCCATGCATATTGAATCGCATAATGAAACAATTGACCTCGTGTAAGGAAATGAAGCTCTCTCAGGTCAGCGAATCAAATGACAATGACTCGGCAAAAAGGCAGACAATTGAATAAGTACGAAGTTTAGCTCTAAAGTCAAGCCTTCACGACTGAATGGAAGGCTATCTGTGGAGCTTGGTACCCATTCCTCAGGAAGTTTGATGAATCGCCGTAGAGGATTTGAGTAAGCACACCTTTGTGTTCATCCACTGCTACGACTTCGAAGCAGTGTAATACAATGCTACTTAAATTGATGTAAGTAGGAGAGAGCGAGACTTAAACATGGGCTAAAACCACATCAACCACAGCAGCTCACCTTGTGTTATCTTCAGCAGTCGATATGCGAGCAGTAACAGGACAGGAGCTGGCATTATAGATTTCCACACCGACTGGAATAGTTGCCATTGCATAACTAGGGAGAGAATTGTAAGGAGTAGTCATGCAATAGTTGGCATTTGTCAAGGCAGAAGTTATTTTATGCATTTAGCAACTTTCATGTTGTTGAAGCAGTATTTGGGAGAAATCAGTGGACTCAGCAGTATCACCAGCAGCGATGAAATTCACACCACAGACATCTGACTAAGAAGGCAACATTTTTACTGCTTTATCCTTCGGAATAAAACTTTATCAATTTTTTATGGAAACGGGTACACTACTTATGCTATTTAAGTAAATACAATACCAAAAAGAAG